GGCTCACCTATTTGTAAAATCTAAGTGACTTTAAACACAATAAAAACAGCACTATGTAGTTGGATACGACAGACATTACATTTTCTAATTGCATAGCTTTTGCACATAGATTTTCTTGATGGATGATGCGATGAGATATAATTTAGAAAAATTCTGTTCTCCCATTTTTTGTTTGAATAAAGAAATGACTCCCTTATTTTTTCCTGTCATTGCTGCCGCAACACTTCAGAAAATAATATTCAATTTAAACTAGACGAATTACATTGAAAAATATTTATTTATAATTTCTTCTAAACATCTCGCGGGCCGGATAGAAACTCTTCGCGGGCCGTAACTGGCCCATCGTTGGTTTATAGATAACTTTAGCATGTGTATAGTCTAGGCTCAAATTCTCGGACTTGATCCGAGACTAGAACAATTATCAGGCAAGAATTGGGTGGATGTAAGCCATCAAAATTACTAGAGTACTTCTTAATTATGCTTATAAATTGTAATTGTAACGCTGCTACACTCTAATGTTAATTATTTTATTTGACTAGAACAATTACACCTCACATCCCAAATCTGCAATGGCACATTCATACATCACTAGACTCAATGGATTTTATTGTGGAACCCCAAATTTTTATTGCAGAACTTTAGGGTTCTGTGAAACACAAGTTGCAAACACCTGCTGTAATGCAATTAAAATTTCTGACAGCTGAACCAGATACTTGTTTTTGGAACTCTAATTGGCTTGTTTGCTTGTCACGTGAGCTCATATTTGAATCCTAGCACAAGTTCTGGGAAACAGTGAGAACTTTTTGCAGTTCTAAATTCTTTCATTTGAATACTTTCATATTTAGTTGGGATTAATTTGGTTTAAGCCTAGTAATAAAATTTCTTTACACATATAAATTGATTTTACTATAAAAGAATGAATGTAACTGTGTGACATTTATCTGATGTAGTTTAAAGAAATACAGAAAAAATACTAAAATCTGTTCAAAATGAAAACTTGCCAAAATGGAAAAAATAATTTAGTGGTTTAGTGGTTCCATGAAATTCTGGTTTACATAGGTTTCACCGTATAAAAATTTATACTTAAAGTTAAAAAGAGAGTATTGCTAAATTTTTTTATTCTGAAAGCAAAGTAAATTTTAAGTTTTCTGACAGTTACTGTTTTAAGTTTAATTATTATAGAAATATAGAAAATTTTTTGAGGTATTGGCAAATCTATATTGTAAATATGTTTTTTTAGTGTCTTGGTACTACTGGAACTGTTGTTGGAATTGACGAAGATCAAGACATTGTAGTTTCTTATCCTAGTGGTAACAGGTAAAGATAAATTAAAATTATCATTTTCTAGAAAAGGCTTTACTGTTATTAAATTTGAAATAATTATTAATTTTAAGACCAAATTTTAGATAGAAAATTCTAAATTTTATTGTTTCATAATTTTTTATTTATCATTGAATTATAAAGTTAGTCCATATTATTTTTGATTGTATATAATTATTTCAAATTAGAGTTTTTAATATATAGAATACTTGTGGTATATTTATTGATAAGTTGTGTTTAATTTTTATATTTATAGATTGCAAATATTTTTGCCTTTTATTACATTAAAGATCTTTTTAATTTTGAATACTTGTCCAGATCTAAAAATAACATGGATGAATCACTTTAAAATTGTGAGATAAGCCGGGGGTACCTGCCAAGGGTATCACTTAATCGGCACAAAATCGTAAGATTCAATCTCTAAATCTTTTTCTAGGAGGGCAGTAAATGTTTAAGAACGATCTGGACGTTGAAGTCTAGATCTACATCAGGTCCCACACCAGTTAATCAGATTTTGATACGCGGATTAACACGCGTGTGATTTGATTCAGACAAAGAGGAGACATTTCTTTAAACAAACAATAAGAAAAATAAAAGTAATAAAATTACACAAATGGAGTAGATCAAAATATAATTAAATGAATGAGACAATGGATTACTTAAAATATATGCTTCAAGAGAGAGAGCTCACATATTTAGTTATAAACATTCTACCTCAATTTACTTTATCTTTATCTTCTTTTGTATTCTCGCATCATTCTTCATTTCATGGAGAGATCTTGATTTGGCACAATATTAAAAGTTTCTTCTTTTCTATTATATTAACTCATTATTATAGTTGACTGGATACAACTAAGGGTGTTGGCCTTATGGAGCAAATATGGACTATGTCTTCCTTTCGTGGGATCTTCTGGCGTACTCCTAACTAAGAGCGTTGGCCTTAGGGAGACAATATGGGATACCTCCTTTCCCTATGAGATCTCTCGACATACTCCCCGAATTCTGTAAAACTTTGAATATATTCCCTGATCTGCGACCAATCAGCATACTGGGATTCTCTCACGTGAACAGATGAAAAGGGTGAATTATTGAGAGGTCGGCAATTTCCAAAGTGGTGAGATTTGTAACAGATAAGTGGAAAACAAAGGATGCTTCAGTTTCCGTTAAAGGAAATGGCTCTTTTATCAGTTTTCCCATGTTAGAAAATGGTTAATTTCACACCAAAATGAAAGAATATTTTACTTTATAATTTTAATGTTATTTTTAAATTGTTACTTAGACCCAGGGGCTATTCGGATCTCACAAAATTTATTATTTTTAAAAATATTCATTACATTATTCATAATTTGAAATTAATATAATAAATTTATTATGAGTAGATTTTGAAAGAAAATATGAAATGAAACTAACAAAGTTGAAAATATTACAATAGACAAAAAATTAACACACGTAAACTGGAAAGATATACTACACAGAATATACTCACAAGATATACTCACAAAAACATGGTTCCATTCGATTGGAACCATGTTTTTGTGAGCTAAGGGATTTCTTTCTCACTACAACAACTGACAGCCAGAGATTCCATTCACAAATACTAGAGCTTACACATCTAATCTGCTATTCCTCCTTTTTTTACTTTGATGGTCAAACGTACATCCAAAAAAGAGGCGTACCAATGGGTAGCCCAGTCTCTGGGGATCTATGCGAACTCGTCGTACGAAAATTAGAAGAAAAGGTCTTACTAAGCTTTCAATCCAATATCCTTAGCTACATGCGGTATGTGGATGATATTTTGATTATTTGGAAAACCAAACCTGATATAGAGAAAGTGTTAGAAGCCTTTAACAAAAACGCCTACGGCTTAACTCTAAAGTTAGACCAAGAAAGTCGCACAGAAGTTANCTCTAAATCTTTTTCTAGGAGGGCAGTAAATGTTTAAGAACGATCTGGACGTTGAAGTCTAGATCTACATCAGGTCCCGACACCAGTTAATCAAATTTTGATACGCGGATTAACACGCGTGTGATTTGATTCAGACAAAGAGGAGACATTTCTTTAAACAAACAATAAGAAAAATAAAAGTAATAAAATTACACAAATGGAGTAGATCAAAATATAATTAAATGAATGAGACAATGGATTACTTAAAATATATGCTTCAAGAGAGAGAGCTCACATATTTAGTTATAAACATTCTACCTCAATTTACTTTATCTTTATCTTCTTTTGTATTCTCGCATCATTCTTCATTTCATGGAGAGATCTTGATTTGGCACAATAATGAAAGTTTCTTCTTTTCTATTATATTAACTCATTATTATAGTTGACTGGATACAACTAAGGGTGTTGGCCTTATGGAGCAAATATGGACTATGTCTTCCTTTCGTGGGATCTTCTGGCGTACTCCTAACTAAGAGCGTTGGCCTTAGGGAGACAATATGGGATACCTCCTTTCCCTATGAGATCTCTCGACATACTCCCCGAATTCTGTAAAACTTTGACTATATTCCCTGATCTGCGACCAATCAGCATACTGGGATTCTCTCACGTGAACAGATGAAAAGGGTGAATTATTGAGAGGTCGGCAATTTCCAAAGTGGTGAGATTTGTAACAGATAAGTGGAAAACAAAGGATGCTTCAGTTTCCGTTAAAGGAAATGGCTCTTTTATCAGTTTTCCCATGTTAGAAAATGGTTAATTTCACACCAAAATGAAAGAATATTTTACTTTATAATTTTAATGTTATTTTTAAATTGTTACTTAGACCCAGGGGCTATTTGGATCTCACAAAATTTATTATTTTTAAAAATATTCATTACATTATTCATAATTTGAAATTAATATAATAAATTTATTATGAGTATATTTTGAAAGAAAATATGAAATGAAACTAACAAAGTTGAAAGTATTACAATAGGTGCGAAAGGTAGCTTAAAATATTCAATTTAGTTTTGATTGATTGCATTAACATATTTTTTCATTTTGATAACCATTTCAGTTGTATACTGTAGAAAAAGTGTGGCAAGAATGGCATATTCTTTGTAACAAACCAGATTTATACAATTTTTTGTAATTTGTAATTTTGTTTTTTGTAGATATTATTCTAATGTTGTTAATATTTGTCTTATGTTCAAATATTTTTATAGTTTTAACATATAAAAAAGATTTATCATATTAGTTCTAAAGTTTTTTTATCTTTAGTAAGCCTATTGACTCCATTACTTAACTCCATATACAAACACAAAAACACTAGAAGAGTTTTTAAGAGACAGAAATTGTTTATTAACAGTTTTGGAATACCATCATTTAATCATTTAATCCTGTCTTTAGGTCACTTCAAAAATCAAACAAAATTGAGCATTTCTATACACAGTATCAAACAGCTATTTAATGGTATGCTTCAACACATTAATAAAAATTTGAAATAAATTGTCTTAATAGAAAAAAACAAAAGTTTTGTGTATAACAAATGTATTGATTGAAGAAGTAGTTGCATATTAGGATTTAGTTTTAGGTATATATCAACATTTTCTACATGGGACAAGAATTTTTATGGGCTTGGAAACTGCATAGTATATTAATTTTTATTATTAAATTTATTATTTGTTTGTATGTGATTTGATATAACAGTTTGAATAAAGAAATTGCGTAATAAAAGCAATATATAGTTCATGCTACAAATAGAATTTTTTAATGTATGAACTAAAATATATGTATGACTCAAAACATTACTTGACTTATTCAACAGTAATTGCAACAAAAACAACAGTTGTGGACAATGCTATTTGATAACAAAATTCATGTGCATAGCAGCAATAGTCACTGCATTGCTGCACAGATGTGCAACTTAGAAGGATGTTGTATAGTGATATCTCTTAATGGTCACCTCTCTAAAGCAAAAACCCCACCATAATTAATAATTTTCATGTGCTGGTATAAAACTTCACCATCAATCAATCATTATAATTACAATTAATTAAGTTACATACAGTATTTAACTTCATTACAATTGATCTCTCCTGTATGGACATTCATCATCATTATGGACATGGCTATGAGATGCATTATGGATATGGCCATTGAGAGAAGTTGCGAGATCAATCTCTCTTAATTCTTATTGAGTCACCTTTATTTGGGGTTTCTGCAGTTGCAGTCAAATCAATTCCAAAAACTTAAAATAAGAAGTTTATGATTGTCTATACATACACCTACATCCATTTTTATTTTTAATCTGTGGTAAAGACAAAATATGTTGTTTTTTTCTATATTGAAAAGAGAATCTGCAAGTGTTGGTATAAAATCACTGATATTAAAAGAGAATATGAAAGTTATTGAATATCACAAATGAGATGTGTAGAATGGGAAAATTAGAAGTGTTTAAGAATAGGAAATGAGAGCTATGAAAATCATTAAGAATCAAGGACTACTATTAAGCTGCAATGACAACAAGCAGTAAATCTGGCAGTTGCAAAGTGGGAATTGCACTCTCATGGAAAAGCAGTTATAGAATGGTTCTGCAGAGTTATAAGTTAGAATGTTTGGGGTGAATCATACAAACCAAAACTTTATAGTTTGTAATTGAAGTAAATGTCGTGAGCCTTAAATGGATGGTTTGAAAAAATTTGAAAATGATATATCAAATTCAAAGTTGTTCTGTAGGAGATCATCTGGGGGTTCATCTATACTAATATTATAAAGAGGTAATGTTTGTATGTATGTATGTAAGTTTCTTTGCAGCAGGTAATCTTCGAAACTACTCATCCAATTTCAAAAATTCTTTCACCAATATTTAGAATGGAACCTCAGGGTGGACATAGGCTGTATATTATTCCGATAAACATTCATATAAATTAAAAAATATAATCTAGGTTGAGGCTTTTATGTCCAACAGATGGCGCTACAAGTACGACACCCTAAGTTTGCTTTTCTGTGAGGCATTATGCTTTTCTGTGAAAATGAACTAAAGCAGATCATCTTCTATCTATCTATATAAATAAAAATGTAATGTTCGTTTGTTCCTACCAACTCCTTTGAAATTTTGACACAACGCTGCATTCGAATACGCACGTCTTTTTATATAATATATGTGTCGAAATTCCTCCCACTGAAGGGAGATGGTTAGGATTAAGGCTTACCGTAAAGAACTCTGCTTCTATTTATACTATTTTAGACATCAACAGAATGTACCCTAAGAAGAATGTACACTAAGAAGGGATTTTTCGATATTCCCCCGCGGGGGAGAGGGACAGAATTAAGGCTTACTGTGAAAAACTTGGCTTCTATTATATTATTTTAGATGCAGGTTTTTGCGTTTTTGATTGCGTTTTAATAGGGTACGTCAAGAGAATGTATACTAAGAAGAAATTTTTCGAAAAATTTTCCCCCCATGGGGGAAGTGTTATACATTTATAATAGATACATTTTGAGCCACAACAACGCTTGGTGGGGTCTGCTAGTCATAATATAGTAGTACAGTAACATTATCACTAGCTGTTTCCCAGAAAGTAATTTCAACACAAAACAGGACTGGTTTTTTACACTCTCTCAGACAAAACTTTGTGCTTCAAGGATGAATGATGTTCTTTTAGCAAAGTAGCAAAAGAATTGCCAACAATTTTATTTACAGGCAAAAGTTGATAATTCATAAAACTGGATGCAACAATGTTAAAATAATCACTCCACAACTAAAATATCCAGCAAGAAGACACTTTACTTATTAAACAAATGTAAACAAAAACTGAAGATGATGATTTAGAATACAGTTAAACATAAAATATAAAATGGAACATAATTTTGAAAGAAATAGAATATTATCTGTAAATTTTTTCGTCCAATGGAGATTATTTTTTAATAAAATTGAAGACAGTCTACCCAATAAAGCTTTATTGGGCAGACTGTCTTCAATTTTATTAAGAAATAGAATAGTTATTCCATTGGTTGAATCTGTAGGCAACAATAAGGATGTCAACAAATTTTACAAATTTTTAATATTAAAAATTTGTAAGACAAGTGAATTTCAAAGAAGGACTTCTATGCATTTGAAAAGAATCTGAATATCTGTAATTTATTGCTGTGTTCCTGGTAGTACATTATGTATTTCTAGCCTCTCTGCATGTTTCAAAAGGGCCCAGTCCGCAACTGGATGTAAAATATGGGCTTCATTGAGAGACACTTGGGTGTGTTTTTGGTTATAAAGGCAGCAAGAGCAGTGGTTGGTTGACCCTTTGGATGGAATTGAGATGCTCTTTAATATATGGTATTAGAGAATATGCCACTGCTCCTATGTAAACCCATTTCTTGCTAAATCAGTTGTCTATTAAGGAGATGGAGCACACTCCACACAGATGCTTCTTGTCAATAAGGTCTTTGGTATTTCTGATAATGAGTATATAGATGGGTTTCTTTTGTATGTCATGTTGATTTTGTTGGCTCTTGCAATTTGTTTGTAAATTTATGTTTAGTTCTGTATGCACAAGTATGAATGGAGAATGTGAGAAACCTTTGATGATTGAAAAGGCTGCCAAACAAAGGTATTTCATTAATATAGATGTTAAAAATTTCAAATTAAATGGAAATCAAACAAAGGCTTGGATGACAGGAAAAATTATCACCATGTGGCTGGAACAGCTGAACAGGAAAAGGAAAGTGTTGTGCCAAAACAGAAAAGTGCATTTGTTTCTTGATATTGCTGCACCGCATTCAAACATTTAGCTCAAGGTTATATTTATGCTGCCAAATGTAACACTCAACCTTTGGATTGAGTCATAATTCAAAAGTTTTAATTCAACTACAAGCAAATGGTATGAAGCACATAATCACAAAAATAGATTGTGGAGCATTGCTTGAAATGTTGACAAAGCAGCTCAGTGTCTTTCAAATTATTTCATGGATTTCAAGTGTTTGGAGACAGGTTCTGCCATTAATGATTCAAAGTTGTTTTGTCAAAGTTGGATTTCCTTCCAGAAATGAGAACACTTTTGTATATTATTTTTAATATAATTTTGTAACTCCTATTGCAAATGATATGGATACAACAATCTCATGAATGCAACAGGATTTACCATTACCACAAACCATTATGTTGACATAGATTCTAACAATCCTAATTGAGTGCACAAGTCAAAATACAGAAACAATCTTTCAATGATTTTCTAAGATTCAAGAAATTGAGTATAAAGATGGCTGTGATGCCTCCATAGTTGAAATGATATCTGCTACTTGAATCACCGAAAGTCATACACATGTCTGTAACACTAGCATAAAAGATTTAGAATTGTTTTTATTCTTTCTGTCCTGTGGACACCAAGAGGACCTTTTTCCATACCACGGACTTTTAATTCGGCATTGTACGCCTGGCCAAATCTGCACCAGGCCTACAATGGAGGCAGCTGGGTAGTGAGGGACAAGGTTCAACATATTTGGGACAGACCTCCCTCAAAAAATTCCTGGGATTTACTGCTTGGATTTGATCCCAAAATCCTCCAGAGCAGTAGGTTAATGTTTTAACCATGTTTTAACCACCATAACCATCTGTCAGATGGAGATTAGAAAGCTAGCATATGATTTAATTTTGCGTAGTGAGTGCATTTTGAATTTTTAAAAAACTAATCATGATTTTCTTATGATAATTAATTACTATAATGTGTCTTATTAATATTTTTTTGCATGATATGTGTATGAGTTTTTAAATAAAAATAGTTTAGGCCACATTTACAGGATATTTCATTTGAAGGTAATTTTCACAATACCTGTTTTGGGTGGACATAACAGACATTTTGTTTTGTCCTATAAGTGTCTGTTTTAGAGAAGTTTCACTGTATTTGCATATAAGAGATTCATTATGTTTATCTTTTTATTTATTGTTAATAATTTTTCTCAAAAAAAGAAATACATAAAATGAACATATATTTTCTATGGAAACAATAGCCAAAGCTTGAGATGTTATTTTAAGTATTTATGGAAAAATATTATTTTGCTTTATTTTAAAATTTATTAAAGTTTTTGCTTTTATATTATTGTGCTAATTTTAAATTTATTAATCTATAAAGAAAATTATTATAATTTGAAATTACACAATTTTCTTATGAACATAGCTAAAAATTAATGATAAATTAGTGAAAAACGTTTGAATATATTTATAATTATAAAAAAATATAAAAGTGGACAAGCTATAAAGTTTATAAATTGTCAATTATTTCAGATGGACTTTTAATCCAGCAGTTTTGACCAAAGTAAATTCTGCTCCTCCAACTTCTGCATCTGGAGGAGGTGATGCTAGTTCTACTCAACAGTTTTCTGTTGGAGATTTAGTTCAAATATGCAATGATCTTGAACGTATCAAAATTCTTCAACGTGGACATGGTGAATGGGCAGAAGCAATGACTCCTGTAAGAAAGAAAAATTTTATAAAAATATATATCTTATAGTTTCAGTTTCCTTCTCTATGCAATATTTCAATTAACATTCAGAAATGATACTTTATTTTTTGGTTTCTTTATTAACTCACTAATTTCACTAATAATGAACAAAAACCTATGATAAAGTATCTGATAAGGTGTGATAAAGTAAATAGTTTCTTACACAGAATAATTTATTTATTACTGTCAAATAAAACTAAATAGTTTGTATTTTGTCACAGATCAATTTTATGCATTGAGTTTGTGATTTTCTTTCCCAAACTAATTGTATTGTTTTAAGTAACAATCCCACAAATTTTGTATTTGCTAAGTTAACTTTGACTTCTCAAAAATTCAAATTTACAAGATATTTTCCTATCCCCTACAGCTTTATTGCCCCTATTTCCACAGAATGCCACCTGTCCTGGATTACTCTTTGAAGTTAAAACATTATTTGTAAGAAAATATTTGACTGAAGTAATCATGTAACACAATAAAGCTTGAACCTCATGCCAAATATCACATAAAAAGAAAATAAAAATACAGTGAGTGTTTTCACTAGCACTTTCAACAAACTTACATTCATCATCTTCAAGTGAACAAAGTTCATGATAAACTATTTTGTTATTATTATTTAGTAATTATTTTAGAAGAATAAATAATAATTTATTAAGTAAAGTTTTATGAAATTGATTTGTTCAGATTTCTGATTTTAGATTAAACTTTAAATTTTAGACTTTGGGAAAAATTGGTCGTGTGCAGCAGATTTATCATGATAACGATCTCAAAGTAGAAGTATGTGGGACATCTTGGACATATAATCCTGCAGCTGTCACAAAAGTTTCTTCTGATGGTACACTTCCTGGTACAGCTAGTGGAGGTAACTATTATTATTATTATTGTTGTTACTCTATATCTATAAAACAAATATTATTTACAAGTTTACTTTTAATATTATTGATATCATTATACTAAGATTAAGTTATGATTGATATTATTGATAATATTAATAAAAATTTGTACTTTCTGTTTATTTTATATTATTAAAATTATTGATTGATTTAGTTAAAGTTTGATATGAATTTTAAAACACAAACAAAGTTTCTAAAATTATTTAAATTGACTTTTGCTGCCATGACTATTGGCCAATCAGATGAAGCCATGACATAACTTTAAAAAATATTTGAATAGTAAACAATTGATACAATTTGATTTTGGAATTTTTTTTGTGTTGAACTGTTTGAGCCAACTTTTCTTATTTCTTGTTGTTTTAATAATTTTAGTATACTTCTTTTGTGTAATATTCATGTCCTGTAATATCTGTTATGCCTGAAGTTTGTCCTGTGCTATTTTCATGACCTATTTTTGGTGGGACACCAGGTATGGGATCATACAACTTGACAAAACTCAGTGAAGTAGAAAACAGGATTTGTTCCATTCAAAAGTCCAACCTTCAACAGAAGCCAAAATTATTCTAGAAACTCATCACAACATATATACATTGACTAATCTGAAGCTGTCAGCTATTCAATCTACAAACTGGAAGGCCTGTGAGATGTAAAGAGCATCTGGCTCAATCCTCCAATCAGCTTCATTGCAAACTTTTGTCATAGTTTTATAGTTTACTATATCATAGTACCAGAACTCATTGACATGGGATGAAGTTTCTGTTATGTTCAAAAACTGAAATGGAAACTTAAAATTTTTATTGAAACTTTCCTAACCATCTCTAGCATGGATGGAACATCTTTAAGCATTCTCAGTCAATGCCCTGCCATATTTGTTCTCATCTCTCTCAATTCCCATCAATTTTCTAATTCAACAATACTGCAGGGAAGACTGATCTTCAGCTGACTGTTTGGAAGAGACTGTCTCATCAATTTAACCAGACTAGATTGTCTTTTGGAAACAACCAACCAATTATCTTCATTGTCAACCATCTCTGTACTAATCATTTCTGAAGATACTTCTTGGCTCTTTCTATGACAGATTCTATCAGCCATATACAATCTTCAGTGTATGACTAGTATTGTGAAAGGAAATTTCCAAGTGGGACTAGAGAAAAGCTTTTTCATGACAAATAGTTTACTTTTATCCAACAATGGTCATCTTAAAATCTGAATCACAAAGAGCTGCTTGATACCTCAACTTTTACTTGCTAGAATGAATGTTGTGGAGTGGGAACTCAAAATCAAGTCTGTTATTTTCACACCCATCACTAAAAATCTAGAACCCAACACTGCTGAACATTGACCATCTCTTCAATCACTGATTGATGCAGTGCTGATTTTGGAACAAAGACTAACCTTTTAGCTTTGCTCTCTAAGTATAAGTTTATTTGTTTTGGATGCCCTCTGAGGAACAGCTAACATTAACATAAAATGTTGCATCTATGCTGGTGACCTCCTGATCAAACAAACCATACAATGTCCTGCTGGTTGAATGGAAGATCATCAGTGAGGAGATTGATAAGATGCTTGCCTAGGGAGTCATTATTCAAAAAGTTCTTCCTGGAACTCACCAGACATTCTTACCAGATAATCACAGAGAGATAGTTTTGCATTGATTAGTGAAAATGAATGCATCTGCTCCTGAGAATCAATGATGCTCTTGACTGTCTAAAAATGCCAAGTTCTGTTTATTGATGAACCTATGTTCTTCTGGTTGGAAGAAGTGGATGAAAAAGACCAGAAGACTGCCTTTGTTATTCTGGATGGATTATGCAAATCTTGCATTCTGGGCTTTGAATTATGCAAAGAAAGAAAATTAAATTAATAGAAACAATAAATATAATTAATTTTTATTAAAATAAAATTTTTAAAGAAAGTATGTTGATAACTATAAATAAATTTTTCACAATTCTATGCATACAGGTTGTATGTAAAAATATGTAGCCAAAGTTGGCAGATATAATATATATATATATTATATCAATTTTCAAATCAAGTNGTTTGTATATATATATATATATATAAAACAAAGGAAAAATCCTAGATAACTTGATTTGAAAATTGTTTGTTTGCAAGAAAAAGTTCCTTAAAGTTGTAGCAAAATACTAATTAACACAAACAAGCAGGATAAAAAGGTTCTGTTTAAATAGAACACTTTCATCTTAAATGTTTGCTTAGTTGTTTATCTTAGTTTCTTCTTCAGAGTTTACATTCTTCCACCTTCTTTCATTTATTTTATTCACCATTTCCTCCATAACCCAGTGTTTACAAGTTCTTTGATCTTTTCTTGCACTCTGCTGTGGCACAAATCTTTTCCTTCATTGATATCCACAATTTATTTGGTATTTCAGCATCCTCTTCATTTATATCTTTGATTTTTTGTTTAGATACTAATCTAAACATTTCACTTTTCCTTTTCAAATTTTCTAAATTTCATTTCTCACTTGTCTTTTTTCTCTTTATGATCTTGAACCTCATTTTGACTTTTGCAAGTAAGAGGTTGTGATCTGTGATCTGTGCAGATCTGAGTCTATGTCTGCACTTGGATAGGTGCTTACCTCCTTAATAGAATTACTGAATCTCTTTTTAATTAGTATATATTCTGTTTGGTATCTTTTGTTGTCCCCAGGATCTTTCTATGTATGTAAGCTTCTCTTATGCTTTTGAAACCATGTATTTATAATCACCATACTATGTTCTTTGCAGAATTCAAGTATTCTTCCTCCTCTCCTGTTCCTGCTTCCCAGTCCATGCTTCCCAGTCCATGCTTTCCTACAATATTTTCCTCTCTTGTGTTTCCTACCACATCTTTTGCTTCACAGCATTCCAATCTCCTAATAACAAACCAACTACTACTATATTATATTGGGCTAGTACAGGCATGGCCAACATACGGATCGTCTAATGAATTTATATGGCCTGTGATTAATCTTTCAATATTAGCTACTGAAGTCCAAATAGCTCGATGAAAAATTCTGACGCCTAAAAAAACAAAAAAAGAAGATCAACAACTCACTGTGCGTTTAGAGTTAACCCTCCATTACAAATGTGAAAAATGTATCTGTAATCTCTATGTACTGTACAATTTAGTCTCTACGGGGTGACACTACAATGAGATCTCGCACCACCTTAAAACCTTCCTAGGGCAGCCTCTGGTTCAGCCTGTGAAAAAGTTTTTTTTCCAATTTGGCCAGGGGGCAAAAACTGTTGGCCACCTCTGGGCTAGTATATTGTGATTATGTGGGGGCCGAGGGGGGAGAAATTTTAAAAACTCTATGAACGATAATAGGTGATATATATCATCATCGTCTCCCTTGCCGTTTTGATTGCCAAGTGGTAACAATCAACGACATGTGGAAGCAGTTCAGTCAGAGATAGATGCTTCGTTTACAAACAACACAACCGTTTATTAAACACGAAAGAAGCTTACAAGATTTCTCCAAATCTTGGAAGTTCTGCAGCAGCTGCAGCCTCTGGGTCTTCCTCTCCTTTCCAAGATAGTCCCATTTTGAAGGAGTGTCCCTTGTTCACGAATGAACCATTCCATCACGTCTCAACGACTCCGGGACAATGCGGTCGACTTCCGCTGATGGAAAGATGTCGATCTGAGGTCGGGAGATGGAGATGAAGATGGGTGCGAGACACACACACAAACAACAGATCCATCACTTGGAACTTTCGGGAGAAGAAGCCACAGCATCCTTGAATTTATGGGGTTTTATCCGTTTTCTCTCAGAATCCCACTTTCCGATTGGTCTCTCCTCGTCACCTGATGACAATTCGAAACCTTTTGAAGGCGTGGGAGAGGTCAAAATCGAAGTTTAATTAATTCGATCTCCAACTGGAAATGGTCGACGGACTTACATTTTTCTATTGTTTAAAAGTTAGCGTCGTGTTTTCATAAAATAAAAATCTATTTCTAACTACTATATATTTTTATCTCTAAAACAATTACTTTAACGCAAATTTTAGTGAGGGTTCGGACCTGTTCAGAGCCTCACAATTACAGTAGAGCGTTATTTATCCAAAAGCGGATCAGCCAAAATGTCGGTTAACTGAAAGTGTTCCAGTCAGACTGTGTTGTGCTGAATCAAACATTTTTGATACTAGATTAACTTCCAAAATATAATTTTTTTTGTTTTTATATTTTTCGATATACAGATAGCCCTTGGTTTACGCTGCAGTTCCGTTCCTACAAAAGCCGGCGCAAATCGAATCGGCGTAAAACAAACCCATATTTACACTGAGGTATAGGGTTAGGTTCCACATAAGTGAAAAATATGCAAATAATTATGCAAAGTACAAATTATTTTATGATAAAATACATTTTAAAAATTAAATTTAAGTTAAATGTTTTTATTAAAAATTTTAGTTTCAGATCTCTTAAATTTTTCGGAAAAAGTATTTATCTTTAATTGTTTACATTTTTGTTTTCTTTCATTGAGAATTTCGGAATATGGTCGAATGGATGCGACGATGCTCCTTTTTACATTCGTTCGCACTTCGCTCCCAATCATTGTCTAACTCACAAAGTTCAACCGTCAAACTTTCCATAGTTGAAAGGATACATTAACCCACGTAGAGCTACAGATGAGCAGAGACACTGATTGGTCAACCACCGGTCGCCGTAGCGCATATGTAAGGTCAGTTTGAGCGGGAAAATTAAGGAGAGATAGATATCGTCTGGCCAACGAGAAGTAGATTTATCTCACTAACAATAGTTTGTGATCGCTGGAAGTGCTACTGCGTCGTAAAGTGTTTTCCTGAACGAACTGATACGGGATAAATTCAATGGCGCTATGGATTTGGACGCCATTTATTGGACTATTAAGTTTGATAACTTGACTCGTGGGTACCTAAACGTTTAGTATTTTAATATTAATTTAATGCAAATGTATACATACCCAATAATATTAAACAGAAAAAATAAATATATTCAATAAAAATCTTTGTTTTAACGAATGTACTGTACAATGTCGCGGCTCAGTAAATACGTCGACACTGAAACGAAAATCAGTCTGGCATAGGGAAAATCGGGGAATTACACAGCAAAATCGTGAATTTGCAGCGGCGTTATTGTGAATCGGCGTAAATTGAACCAGCATAAACCGAGGGCTACCTGTATTTTATTTTGTTTGTACAAAATAAAGAAGTAGTTTTTAACGATACAATAGCCACAATCATTTTTAAAAATTTATGTTAGACTTAACATCGATGAAAATTCAATGCAAAATGACATGCAACGGAGAAAAATTTCAACATGGGATAGGTTAATATATTTTTTTGTATATAATTGGTTATCCAAAAAGTAAGTTATCCAAACAACCCCAGTCCCAAATTGATTCAGATTAACGACGCTCTACTGTATTTTAAATTCATTACTAAATAATTTGTCACTAGAGGGAAGTGTTAGGTGCTATCTTTTATTAGATTTAATAAGAGATTAATAAGAGAACAAAATTATAATTAATTTTGCTTATGTCACAGAATGAAGTGCAGTACAATCAACAAGGCTTTCCTTTACATGTTTCTTTAATTTTCTTTTTTATTTGCCGAGACTTTATTGTGTGACATAAACAAAATAGAAAGACAGACATGGTTTCAAATTAGGAAGAATTATAATTAAGTCTTCCAAAATCTGCTAATAATAGTAGGCAGGAATTTTTTTTCCCATAATTTCTTCCACCTGTTTGTATATTTCCTCTATTTATTCATTTGAATGAGAGCTAGTAGGCATATATACTTGAATTTTTGGTATACCAGATCTTTTGGTTCTGCTTGAATTCTGATCATAATGATTCTGTCATTTATGTAATTAACTTTAATTACCAAGGATGCAAATTCATTTTTCATTGCTATCTTCACTCCATTCATTGCTTTCTTTTCACCTGAAAAGTAAAGCTTGATATCGTCACTCACTAATTCTCCAGAGTCTTTCCATCTCACTTCACTTAGTCCTACTATGTCTAATTTATTTATTTTCATTTTATTCTTCAGAATTTCCAGCTTTCCTTAATTAAGGTCTTCATGTTCCAAGTTCCAATTCTCAAGAGTCTCTGTGGGGAGTTTTGCAGGTTGACAATCTGAGTAGCTTCCTTCATCCCCCTACCGGGCAAGATGTTGCAGTTGGAAATTGTTGCAACCCTAACGTCATTCTTGTCTATTTCTACTTGTGCTCATCTTACTAGGGAGATTGCTATGTTAGTAAAAAAGCGTAGTAGTTTTCCTTTTCTTTCTTTGCTTCCTCCTTGTGTTAAATCACAAGTTAAAGTTTTTACTCTTTTTTTAATTAAAATTTACAAAATTTTATAAATCTGCTTGATTGTTCGAAAAGTAGGCTTAAGATTGCCAACTTTAATGATCATTTATAGTCAATAATCACAGTAAATATATTGTTTACATATAAAGATGAATTTAGAATAATTATAGACTCAATCCATTGACTTAATCTTTAAAAAATTAATACCTTTTATCATTTAAATCTGATTCTACAGTTTAAAGATATGCATAAATGATCTCTAGTGTTCAATTCATGTACACTACACATACACTAAATATCTTTAATTATGCAAATTTAAATATTATTAGTAATGCCAATCTTACATTGTTTTTTTCATTGTAATATCAGAAATATGATGCAATGCTTTCAATATTAAATATGTTAATGATATAAATGATTTTTCTAAATTTTTATTGGTTTTCTGCAATATTTTTGATGTAAATGTAACAAATTGAAGATATTTTTAATTTATTTTCTTTTTCATAAATCATAAATATGATTAATCTTGATAAAGAATCAGTAAAACGTTCATAGAAGTTGTAGTAGTATTAGAAGTAGAGTATTAGTCTTTAACTTTTAGTCAAATCAATTGTATAAAAGTTAAAACTTTAAAAGAAACATTGAATTCAAAAAATATTTCTTAATTTTACTTTCAGATCTTTGGAAAAAAACAGTTATTAAATAAATAAATATTACATTCTTTTATAATTCTGATAAATCCATTTTCATTTATCGTTGGCAAATGTTATATTTTGTTAATCTATATTATTATTATAATTTTGGTAATTATGTAATTAATTTTATAATTAAAATTATTCTTGAGTTTTAAAATAGTAAATTTAATATATTACAGAAAGATTAAATGCTTTATTGAAAAAATTATTTGAAACTCATGTTTCGGGAGATATTAATGAAGAATTGGTAAAAGCTGCTGCAAATGGTGATGCTCAAAAGTGTGAAGAGATAATGAAGCGTCCAGAAGCAGATGTTAGTAAATTATTTTATTTAATATATAAATTATTATTAAACTTAGTTTTATAAAATGGCTTATTATTTTTAATCAAAATTTACTATCAGCTGAGATTGAATACCACACAAATTAAAAAAAAATTTTCATAATGCATATATGTGACAAATTACTTTTTTATAACTTATGCCCAAGTTAAACAAAAAATATTAGGCTATTTTTTCATATTTTTAAAATTATTATTATTGTGAAAAATTCTGTTTCAAATATATTTTTTTTAAATTTAAAATTTATGATTTGATGGATTTGATGGTATCTCCATTTTTGAGTGCAAAATTGTGTTTCTTCAGATATTTTTTTTTAATGTGAAGTGTTTTACATTTGTCTAGAGCTTCAGATCAATATTTTCTGTCTGTATTTGTACGTCTCCATTTGTATGTTAACCTATCATGTGTTGAATATTTTCTCTGTTGCATATTGTGCCACATAAAAAATTTTTTCTATATTAAGCTTAATGCAATCACACGTTTTAGAAAAAAAATAATTGTGGCTATTTTGTGGTTACACACACAAAATAGACGTATTAAGAAATGTAAAAACAAAAAACTTTATTTCAGTAGTTAGTTTTAGTGTGATAAATCTCAAAGCAGGGAACAACGCATAGTGGAACGGAACATTGTTCACACTTATAACATGTTTCTACTCACTTTTTGTTTTACAGATTTTACAAACTTGGTTTGATTTTTTTTTTTTTTCTATTGCTGGTATGTGATGTGGCTAGGAAAATGCCGTTCAGATAAACATAATGGATTTTTGTGTGACGATTGACTGCAGCGGGTTACATGTCTGCTTGTGTGAAACTTTTTCATCACTTCTCTAATAACAGACATATGAAAATCAAGAAATGATATCTGTTTTTTTTCATATGTTGGGGATAGAAAACACAAGCATTATATAGTGCAATATCCAGCAAGTGAAAAAACACTTTTTTGTACCATTTCACCGTTTTTCGCATTCATAGATAATTGTGTATCACTCCATCACACAGATCAGTTCCGCCCATATTTCAATTATATTTTAAAACATAATTCGGCTTCATTATTATATCTTCTGATCTGTTATGTTTACCAAAATCTGAGAATTTGTTGTTTCTCGTCGTACTTAGAATCAGCACATTCCTCTTATCTCTCCAAAAAAAAAAAAAAAACACAGACACACCATCTTTCTGATAGATCATAAATTTGTAAAGTACTAAGTTATTTTTATGCTTTTTACAACGATTAGCGACACAACTTTGTGCCGGAAATAGCCATTACCTAACGGGTACTTTATGTGGATTTGCGTTAATGTGCCAGGCCTGGACTTTAAGCATGCACTGAAAGAAATAATGACAAAGTTAGTCAAAACCAATCCAATATTTAATAATTCTAATAATGACTATGTACAAAAATTAGTAACAGTCAAACAACAAATTTATTCAAAGAAAATCAATAAGAATCAACCCGACAAAAAATTCAAATCAATCTATTTCTAACTTAAATCTATTCCCCTTTGGAACTTGACAAAAAATTCAAAGACTTAACTTATGTACAACAATTCTTATGAACTAAGGTCCTAATCGTCACCTCAATATACTAGGAACCTTTTTCCTCAACTTTCAAGACTTTCTAATCTTCAATCCACAAATCGAATAACTTCAAATCGTCTTGGAACCACTTTGTCGCAATCAGACACCTCTTGTCGTTTGCTGCTACGAAGCTCATCACGCTCGTTGCTAACAGAAGCTCACCTCGGTCATCTTCACTTGAGGTTCTGACTTTATACTATGAGGTGACGTCACAATTCTGATTGAGATCACTCCCCTCATTTACATACTTATCGCTAACAGTAAACTTTTCCTTTCTGCCTGGCAGCCTATTTCCTGACAATTCTCACTAACCTTTTACATTATTCTTTTTTACAGTTTTTCAGAATGTTTTATTCTTTAAGGTTTAGTAAGTTCCTAAGTTTGTGCTTGTGGGGTCTCCCCCATCTTTCTCGGTGCGGACTTACATTTTTTTGCTCGGGAGCGCAAGTGTGTGCGAGTTTTTTCTATGGCGCTTTTTTTGGTCGGTGAGTTGGTTCTCTTTCTTCTATTTTTAAGTTTCTAAGGTGAGTGGTGAGGAAACCTTTGTCCTAACAAAAGATAAGCCCCAAACAAAAATAGAATAAAAAGCAAAATAAAAAATAGCTAAAAATAACACTGACTTGGTTCCTTACAAATTCACCTTCCTTCAATTTATGATCAGGAAAATTGCATGGCATTCCAATTTGATTTTTGTTCACAGTTCCACATATATATGTTTGTTTATTCAGAAGTATTTTTGATAACATTGGTGAGGTGAAAAACCTGTCTAAAAAATCTTGTAATTCTTACCGAGCAATGATTCTAATAAGGTAAGCACAACTTTCTCACTTTGCCCACCTTCAAAGTTTCCATATTCTGTCGTAGTTCCCGTGTAAACTGAGAAGTCCCAAACATATCCTGTTTGTGACCCGCAAATTTCGAAGATTTTTATGCCAAAACGAGCATGCTTGCTCAGTATATACTGCCTAAATCCCAGTCTGCCTTTCCATAACATAAGACTTTTGTCTACACACACATTTTCATCTGGGATGTAAGCATATTTGAACCTGTGGCATAAATGATCAATAATACTGTGTAATTTATGCAGTTTATCATCACCACCTGAGGCTTGATTATTGTCTGTAAAGTGCAAACATGACAATAAAAGTATAAAGCAGTTGCTCGACATTGCACTAAAAAAAATGGTGTAGAAAAAAAATCTTCATTTGTAAAGTACATATTTCAGCATAGTTTTCTAATGATACTTGTGACCATAATAAGTCCAATGAATTTTCTAAATTCAGGATTTGTTGTTGGTTTCCAGTTTTTTATAAGACTATTTTCATGTAAATGGTCACATTTTATCAAACTATCACCATATCTGTTCGTTTCTTCAATGATCTTGTCCACAAGTTCATCATCGAAAAATACACTAAAGCAGTCGAATGGTGTTGCATCACTCTGTAAATTACTTTATTGGATTCTTTTTTGTCCTGTGAAACTGTTTACTTGAGGTCTTGTAAAGTTTGTACGGATCCAACCATCATCACTACTAACATGGATGTTGTTTTGCACTATTATTTCCATGAACACAACCACAGATTGGCCTCTATATCTACTTTTAGTTGGTATTTCGTGATCAATATCACTACTACCATCACATACATTTTCATTTTGTTTATCCTATTGAACAATGGGTTTAAAGCCAGACAGAACCAAAGAGGACTTAAGGGATCTTTTTTGTCTTATGTGTATTTGATTTGTTTTAAATGTGTAGGTGTTGAAGTTTGAGGTGTAATGTTATTCATTCTTCAGAGTTGCATTAGGTTTTCCAGAAATGTAATAAGTGTAGATAACAAACATGAATGTGGAATTCTGTTAAATGCTTTCCTATAATTTATATATATATATATATATATATATATATGTTGAACAGATATATATATATATATATAATCATGTGTAGGCTTAATATTATTATTATTAAGATAGTAATGGTAATATCTAAGAAAATTACATTATATTAATTTATTAATTTTTAGGTAAATGGAATGTTTGCTAGTCACACTGCTTTACAAGCAGCCAGTCAAAATGGCCATGTAGAAGTTATAAAAATCTTACTGCGCCATAATGCTGATGTCGAAATAGAGGTGAGCAATTTTAAATATAATACATTTTTTAAAGAAAGTGAAATTGTGAAATAAAGAAAAATGAAAAAAATTAGAAATGTATGTTTATTTTTAGTATAGCATACATTAAATGATGTATTCCAAACTGAAATAAAATCTGTTTCAAATGGTTTCAATTATTAACAAGCAATTATTTATTGTGACATTATCTGCAATTTTTAATCATACTTTTAATTTATTTAATTTAAAATATATGCTCTTCACCTCAACTTAGTACTGTAGTGTCTTGCCCCTGTACACCATACTTTTCCTTTAACAATAGTCATGCTGGTCATCTAACTCATTTCAGGGAAAATTTTTGAATTGAAATAACATGACTTTTGGTTTGCATTGGAAGCTTGTATACAGTTAATTGGGGCGTCCTGCCTCTAAGGTTTCCATATCTGGTTTTGTCTTTAATCTGTCTAACTCTGTTCTCAAGATTAAGGAAAGATAGACAGACAGATGGATGACAGTGGGAATTTATACAAATTTTTCAAATTGCAGCCCAAAAATATTTTTAAAAGTTTTTAAAAGGAAGAGAAAAAAGGATCTGGGGAATATAGAGAGAATCCAATGCATTGTGCTCTAATTTGGCAATCTATAGTTAGATCATGTATAATAAAATGTCATAAACAATATATAAAGTTATTGCTAATTTTATTTTTATACAGAATTATCTTGAAAATCATTAGTTTCATTTGTTGTGTTGAAATTTTAATATTTCTATAAATCATTTTTATTTATCATAAAAATTTATTTTTTCAACTAATTCATTTAGTCAATAATATAACTTTTTATTTATTTTATATCAATTAGTTTAACCTGTGTCAGTCCTTTTTCTACATATTTTGCATATAATAGTAGCATATTTCATATTCATTGATTTTCTTATTCAAAAGTAAGGTCATAAGATTTTTATAAAAGAATGTATAACCTGACAGCATAATAGTAATAATTCAGTGTGAGATAAGCAGCGGGCCACGGGTTAATCCCACAATGACCACTTACTCTGCATGGGCTCGTGAAGCCCGATCTCAGCGTCGTTGAATGGCTAGGAGGACAAAAAGTGAGTGGGGAGTGCATTGGTAAGTTGGCAGGTGCTGTTTAGACAGGAGACAGGTCAACAGAATAACAAGCATTTATTAATTAATAAAACTAAGTTACAAAAATACTAAAGCTAAATGCGATTATATTAAAGTATTTACAGAAATTGGCGACTACATTCTTAGGTAGGTCGCTGCCCTAATTTCTAGTTCAGAGAGAGCGCTTTTATAAAATCGACCTCTAAATACCTCTAGGTGGAAGGGAGAGTTGGCGAATGTCATCTGTATGGAAGGGTGTGTCTTCTATGTCTTCTCCGACAGGATTACAGTCCTTGGCATGAAGATCGACGAACACAAGTACTAAGAATACCTTCCGTGTGCGGACACCCTGAGCTTCCGGTGATCTCCCCTTTTATATCTTTTTGTGCGAGAGCTGACACGTCATCGACTCTTGTTGACGATGACTGTGCATTCTTCACACTTAACAGTAAACTTCCTCAGTTCGTTGTTACAAACTCGGTGAAATTCAATATAGTTTAAATTCCTCGGGTTTTTTTCGAAATTAATTAACCGAAAATTTAGATGTTTAAGTGGCCCATACAAATCCGAAAAAATCCGTGCCTCACATTACCTTTTTTAGTGAAATGTTGTAACCCTAGACTAGGGACCCCTAGATTATTTGCCTTTGCTAAGACTCATAAAGAAGGCAAGAAAATAAGGCCTATTGTGGAAAAACGAAAAGCGCCTACGTTTCTCCTTGAAAAAAGGTTGCATGAGTATATCTCCTCCAAGATGGAAAGTAATGAATTGGTGGCTAAGGATCCCGGGACGGTGGTCAAAGAACTACAAGAGGTTACCTTAGTAGATGACGAAGTTGGGACTGTTTTGGATTACGAAAATTTGTTCCCTTCTGTTAAGATTGAATCTTGTGTAGAAGCGCTGATCGAGTTCTTGATTAAAGTAAACCCTACATTAGCACAGCATAATAATGAGTTGGTAGAGATGGTTAACCTTGTTTGCTGCGAATCCTTCTTTGCATTCGAAGGTCAAACGTATAAGCAATGTAGAGGGGTCCCTATGGGAAGCCCAATTTCAGGGCTGTTATGTGAGCTTGTTGTTAGTAGACACGAGGTTAAAGTTTTGCGTAATTTCAAAAACAATATAGTATACTACAAAAGGTATGTCGATGATATATTCATAATTTGGAATAGCAATCGAGTAATTGCTAACTTTATAGATAGGATTAATGATAATGAGGATGGCCTTAGCTTAAAACTAGAGCAAAAAAGCTCTGTTATGGTACATTTTTTGGACATTAATGTTATGTTTAGAGAGGGACGTATATCTACCGGGGTATTTATAAAACCAACGCATAGCCCACTGTATATACCTGCTAGCTCTAATGATCCTTATAAATATAAATTAGCAGCATTTAGAGCGTTAGTTAGGAGGGCTTTTTTGTATTGCGAGAGTATAATAGACAGGGATGCAGAAATAGAAAGAATCATGCAGGTAGCAGAAGCGTTGGGCTACAAGAGGAATGTTATAAAGGGGATTATCAATAAATTAGAAGCTAGTACACAAATAATATCTCGTCGTGGTCCATCTACATACACGAAATTTACGTACAACAAGCGCTTAGGAAGCATTATGAAAGAAATCGCAAATAAAAAAGTTACAAGAATAGTCTTAAAAAGAGCTCCGAATTTGTACAGAATACTTAGAAATGATAAAGGGATAGTTAAAAAAGAGGATAGGTCAGGTGTATATAAGATCCCATACGAGAATCAGATGTTAGGAATAGATAAAGAATATGTTGGGGTTACTACTAGAAATCTAGGGGTAAGGATAAAAGAGCACAGATATGATGTGAGAAAAGGTTCGAATGCCACAGTATTGTCTCAAATGGCGCAAACGGAGGGTTCGATAGTAAGATGGAATGAAGCAGATATACTGAAACAAATACACTCCCCGACCTTGGCAAAAACGGCCGAAAAATTAGAAATTTATAAAAGCAAACTTAAAGGGAATTGCATCAACGCAAGGGATGCCGAGGGACTTCCTTCCGCATGGAAGTTTGCAGTTAAAAACTTCAAATAAGAGCAGGAGCTTTAATATTATGTATATAAAAAACTCTGTATAGTTTAGTTGAGAAACTCCGTACAGTTTATTAAGCATTATTAATATATAGTGTTATCGATTTGTCTATTAAGTTTGAAGTATTAATATTTTGTATACACAATTTATTTGTTATATTTTAATATTTTTTATTTTTATTTATAATTTTAGCAGCATTTGTATTAATTATATTATTTAAAAACGTTATTTCGCTGTTAGTAATATATTGGTTATCCGTTATTAATATTTATATTTTTTGTATTTTGAACCTGTTGTTCTATTTTTTGAAATGTTCTAATTTACCTGACGATGATCCATTGATTGGATTGAAAATGTTTGTGTTAAGAATAAATCTCTCAGCGAGTGAACAGGTGTTGATTTAGTTATAGTATGTTATTTTCATTTGTATCTATTTTCACTAGGATATCTTTTAACTATTAGTAATTTCACTAATGGTTAAAAGATATCTTAGTGAAAAATATTTTTAAAATTAAAATAGCAATTATTTTAAATAATTCAGTTCTTAAATTTAACAAATTAAATAATTTGAACTAAATAAAACACACATAATAGAAAATTTGAGCATTTATTTTTTGTTGTTTATAATAAATTTTCTGTACTGTTAATAATACCATTTAGGTGTCAAGTAGTTGTTTATTATATAGTTCCAGTTTAAGTGTGCCAGTTTTTTATGTTTAATAATACCATATTTTTGAACATTGAGTTGCATGCCAATTTAAAAAATGGAGACTAGAAATTACCTTTTTCACATCTGGTGTATCACCATATGGGTTTCTAAGATAATTAATGCTGCATTTCAGTTGTTTGGGATAATTTTTCTGGCTGCTCTGCTGATAAACTTCATGAAAAGTATATAAATACAAAAGGTGTGATTATTATTATTATTTTTTTTTTGATTTAGTGTATTTTGGTCTCGATTTTTAACATAACTTTTATATTTACCAAAATGCATTCAAAATTTAAACACTTATGTGCTGTTTCAAACAGATCAATTAAAACCTCTAGGTGAATATCTTTTAAAAATATTTTCAAACATTATGGTAGGTACATTTAAACAAAACATAATCACACAGTGTAAAAAATTTTTGTTTTATTGAAAATTAATCAAATAAGCAACAGAAGGGAAGTGAGACTATGCATTAAATCAAATCAGCTGCAAATACACAGATATTCCAAAATCAAAAACACTTCTGGTCCCAAGCATTTTGGATAAACAATTCTCAACCCATAATAGCAAAATAAAATATTTGATTGAATGAGGAACAAATAAATAAATGATGCCACATTTATCCCTCTTATGGCTGTGTTTACTAACAAAGAGTTGAGAGTTGAAGTCAATCAGTCGGCATTCATTTTACTTTAAGTAGATGAATTCTGATTGGTTAAGGTTACTTTATATGTCTAGATAGATGTACCAATACCGTACCTTACCTATTCAAATTTCAAGTCCACTATAGTTGACATGTACAGTACAATGCCCAACTCCATCAAATGTTGCTTGTGGAAAAATAAAATTTTGTTTACAATGCCAGTAACTACCCAACAAAATGAATTAATTCTGTATAAGAAGGGTTGATATTACAACATATAATTAATTCATTGTGATATCTTGACTTAAATCAACTTGCCAGCTTTCCTGGAGTTAGCAGCGTGCTGGCCTCCTTGTTTTAAATTGGCATGCCAATTTAAAATAATTTAAAACAGTAAAACCTTTTGAAAAAAAAACTAAAAATGGTCATAACTTTTGAAATTAATATGTTTTGAAAAAATATTTTAAATAAAATTTTTAAATCAAGA